GTTTTACTGTTCAGAAGTCTGATCGCGATGTATGTGTTTTGTGGTTCGAATTCTGAAGAAACATTGGAGTAAGAGTTAGATTCTGCGAGTGGTATCTTAGATATATACTTTTTCTGAACAGCTGGACATATTAAGTTAACGGAGAAGAATATGCAACAAGCTCATCAACTCTTTATATGCGACGACATAAAATCAGGAGTCAACAATGAGAAGCTTTGATTGTATGAAAATAAAAGACGTTGGATGCCGAAAGGAAGGTTTTTAAATTGAGGAAATTGGCGTCCATTGTCAGAAGTAATGGAATTGTTCGCACCAGAGAGTCAGATGAGTAACTGTGAAGACCCTCGAATAGCATGCGAAGATAATTAAGTCTTTCGCAAATCCACTGGAAACTCAGAGAAGAGCAAGTGATTCCAAGGTGCTAGGTTGTTTATGGAAAGTGAAAACTGATGTGCTTAGCTTCAAGCTGTCACATTGGCGAATACAAAGGAAACAAGGTCAGAAGAGAGATTTTTAGAAAATAGCGAGCTTTTGACCATTGGGAAAAACTCCATCACCTTGAAAGTATTTTACAAAGCTTTTCGAATCAGTGATAGGGGAACAAGTTCAGAGATTCAGAAAGATTGGATAGTCATGATGTCAAGTCAAGCGATCGGGAAGGTGTCTGTCATAGATATTATTAGGATATCATTCATTAAAAAACCGAAGAATTATTGAATTGGTTTGGATACTAGAAAGCGTAGCTGCTCGTGTCTATGCCAGGTTACACGAGATAATGATTGTTAAGCCTTGTTATGTCAAAGTCACGAATTGCTCCCCTCTGTTCTCCGAATGACTATCCCTGACTGAGTTGTTTATGCTGATTCTTGCAGTTGTCACTGCCCAAAGTGCTATCCTTGATAGAGTAGATATCATTGCTTACCGACTTATACGCTTTATTTGGATAGGGGGATAAAGGATGGACTTTCGTGGAAACAGAGTAAAGATAAAGAAAATTGTTGGGCTGAAGGTGGTTGCACTGTAGGGGTGAAAATCCAGGACACACCAAGAAAGGCGAGTGTGCAAAGCTGCAGGAGGGATCTACATTGGTGAGAGGCAATTGGTTGCAATGTAATGTATCGTTCTATAGCTTCAAAGAACTGTTGAGACAGAAGAGATGCAGCGACTGCAGAGGGAGTTGAAGCTTCAGTACCTTTAAGAGAGGTTCTAGTACGTTCGCGAGAATTCGCATCTTCCAGAATAATCATATTGAAGATACGCTTACAAAGGTGTTACGAATAGCGTAGTACTTCGATTTATCTACACCATTAGAATAGAGAGACGTAAAACTTAGAACTCTAGCTAAGGAAATGGAAACGGTCAGAAAAATATCTTATTCGTCCGCACAAATGGAATCAACAAGGCTACGTAAAGAAAATAGAGCCACATCGTTTTCAAGGATAGGATGGATTTTGAATGTTGTGTCGTCTGAATAATTCAAATCTAGATGTTAAGCAAGTAATCGCCATATTACTATAGAGACGAGTTGCCATCTGTGATCTTCAAAGTCATTGAGTCATGCATAACAGGTGGAGCAGGTTGCAGACGTTCGTCAGATTTTGGATTGTCAAGGGCCGTCGTTGTGAAGAAGAAAATAATGACCGTGCAGATTGGTGCTGTATCCAAGGCAGTCATACGGGACGAAAATGAGCCAACTCAATTTTGCGTTAGAGGCAGCCCATTTTGCGAGTCGGTTGATTTGGCAGGTCTGTACTAGTAACGGAAGACAATTCAACTACAAGGTGGTATATAGCTTTATTTTACGTGTGCTAACATGAGGTAACACATTGAAGTTGTACCAGATATGACAACCAATACCTTTTTATTGTGTCTCAAGCGTTTCGTTAGTAGAAGAGGGATTCCAAGAATCATCGTAACAGATAATGCAAAAACATTCAAAGCGGCTTCAAAAATACTCGTCAAGCTCTTCAAGTCAAGGGAAATAAGTAATTACCTTACAGATAGAAAGATACGATGGAAATTTAACCTTGCTAAGGCCCCATGGTGGGGTGGATTCTACGAGAGACTAATACGCGGAATAAAATCATGTCTTAAAAAGAATTTATCAAAGGCGAAACTCTCTTATGATGAGATACAGACCATCATTATACAAATCGAATCGGTATTAAACTCAAGACCTCTTACATATCTTTATTCATCGGAACTCGAAGAACCGTTAACGCCCTCTCACCTTGTAATCGGGAGAAGACTACTTAGTCTACCAGAACGGTATTTCGAAGAAGATATCGACTACAACGAGACGGCAGACGTTGCAAGAAAAAGGGAACAGCATGTTGCTCGAGTTTTTCAGCATTACTGGCGGCGCTGGAAGAAAGAATATCTAATCGATCTTCGGGAATATCACAAGGTGCCAAATAAGACTCGTGATAGACCAAATATCAACATCGGAGATGTCGTTACGGTTCAAGATGAAAACATTCGAAATCGCATTGAATGGAAACTTGGTCGAGTTGCAGATTTAATCATAGGACGCGATGATGTGACCCGCGGTGCCAGAATTCAGCTAGCTAACGGAAATTTCATAGAACGACCAATTCAAAAACTGTTTCCGTTAGAACTTTCTTCAGAGCCCAAAGAAGCCTGTGCGACCAATGAAAACACGACAATGTCCGAGGACAAGCAAAGAAAAACGAAAAGAAAGGCAGCAGTCATCGCGCAAGAAAGTATTCGAATTATTGACCAGCTTGAGGAAGATAACGAACTATGAGGAAAGCTGGTCAAGGGGGGAGTGTAAGAAATTGCGGTGGCGCTTTGCTGCTCACGAGACGTGTCCTGGGGCTTAAGGCTGGGGTGAAACCCGTTTTTATAGCTTTTATATTTTTATGATTTTATGAGTTGGAATTCTCAGTATTGTTCGAATGTATGCAAGAATACGAAGTACGTAAAACCGAAGGAATCTCACGAAATTGGAGAAGATCACTCTTGAACGTTGGAACTCTCTATGCGAAGTTGAATTCTACCAAAGACAAAGACAAAGTGAACGTTGAAACTCTCTATGCGAAATTGAATTCTACCAAAGACAAAGACAAAGTGAACGAACAGACAAGTAACACTTATCGTATTATAATTTTGTCATATATATATATATTCATTTTTTTCCTTATTCGATATTTATATACAGTCCTCTTAGAACAATTTTTTCGTACCTAATCTAACTCTGCTACCCTAGGTGGAAATACCAAAAGAATTTCCCTACCTAGGCCTGATATTGAACCTAAGCAGGGATAATATTCTAAACTATAATAAGCATACATTATGACTTAAGTTGTTTTCCACTGCAAAAGTTTATTTTGGACAGACCTCTCGTAAATACTTTGTTAATAATTATGGAAAGATTGAAAGGTTGCATTTGCAAATGACAGCCTGATTGTTCATTACACTTTGTCTCCTCTGTTGCAGTCACAGCGGCATTGACTTCTTGTCTCGCTGACCTGCTACTATGTACTAAACCCCCGTCTTCTTTGGGACGGGCTCGGAAAGCTTGGCTTCTACCGCTGGAGACTGAGAAGAAACATGTCGCTTTAATGCAATAAATGTGCGTTCTTATGATGGTAGACAAGGAATGCAAGGTTTATATATCACTTTCAATTGGTTTATGCTTCGATTTCAGCTATAAAAGTCGGATTTTATGTAAATTACAGCGAAATTTTGTAAATTACAATAAGCCGTTTTGTTTTGAAGAAGAAGTATTTTGAAATCAATTTTCAAACAATCTAATTTTCCTTTGCATTAATCTTGTGAAGCTCATCATCAACGCAAGGAGCATATTTATTGTTTAACTGAGATCCACTGTCATTTTGTGTCTTGAAAAGAGTGCCAAACTGTTTTAGAAACCCCGAAAACGAAGCTGCTTTTTCGAAACAGAGGTTCCGGAGCGAAACTGTATCGGATTCATGCGTTCACACGAGCTCAAAAGAGATCCGATATGATTCCATTCCACATTCACAGCGGAATGGTTTGAATCCGCAAAAACGATACGGTGCGTATCGGATTCAAGCGTCATCGTGTGAACAAAAGGCCTTTTCGATATGAAAGCGATCCGATACGAAATGAATCCGGTATCGTGTGAACAGGGCCTAAGTGTTCACGTAGATTAGAAAATCGATGTAAAAAACACAACCTGATTTGAACTGACCTCCCACACTAGAGCCAGACCAAGGCAACTTAATCGACTTAAATAACAGAAAACGTAAATTTTAAGGCAAAAAGCTTCGAATTTTGATCTTCCTGTTTAACTACATTTACAAATAAGGTCTGATGAAACCCTAAATGAAGAATAAACGAAAATACGTCCCCAAAATATATGCGTAAAACTTCTCAGAAATTGATGAAACTTGTTCAAGTTGCTAAAATTACTGTTCTCAACATGTTTGTGAGTTTTAGTCGGTGTCCCCCGGCACCGTTGAGGGTGTTGAGGATTTTTTTTTTTTTTTTCTATATTCTCATAAAATTTTACAAAACAAACAACTACAAGACGATACCACAGGGAGCATGGAAATACATAGCAACCCTGTGGCCATTACATTAAACATATTTGATTCAAATTAAGGTTGCATTAAATGTTGCAAATTACATGTTACAGATTACTAATAATTAAAGACATTTACAATTTGGAACAAAAACAAGGACAAAATACATTGACGAAACAAAACAAGAACAATGAAAGACAAATTACATAGGAGAGAAGATTTATAAAACTACTTAATGAAACCTTTCAGAGGTCTGAATATATTTTAATGTTGCCTCAAGAATTTTTGTATTTGAATTTAAAGATAATTTTTCATGACCATAAAGAATTATTTGCAGTAAAGCTTCATTCGAAAGGTTTGTTAATCCATGGGGTTGCAATATAGCCCTCACATTGTCAAGAAGATCACGTCTATCTGTATCATAAGCATGGCAGAGCAGCAAAAAGTGTTCCGTATCCTCAATACCATCATTTACTGGGCACAAAGGATTCAAGGTATCACTGAAGTTATGTTTGAATTTGTGAAAATTCAGCTTGCTAAGTCCAACACGAAGTTGTGTCAGAATGGATAAACCTTTTGGGTCGTGGATGTTGTAGACTAGCTTTTTTGTTGGACGGATAAATGCAAATAGTTGTTTTTTGAAAGCACTTACTGAGTGGGATTGTTTGATCTCTGGGTCGAGTTTTTCCCATTCAGATAAACAGTTTGGATAAAAACTAGCTTTAAATTTCTCAGTTCTCGCGTGTATTTGCCCTACTGAAGCCTGTCTGCGAAGAATGTAGCCTGATTTCTGAAGTTCGGGTATAGGGCTTCTAGTGTAATCTGGTGTCAAGTTATTGATTATTTTAAAGAAAGAAACAAGGCGTCTACTCCATCGTCGGTGGTTTAGCGATTCCCATCCGAGTTCATCATAAATTTTTTGGCACGATGTGCCCTTCCAAGCCCCAGTTATTGCTAATGCGGCAGAGTATTGAATGGACTCGAGTTTTTCCATCGAATTGGTCAATGTAACAGTTTGGCTACAATCATGAGTATTTTGTGGAATGTGATATATTACGTCACCATAATCCAGATGGGGACGGACATAGAGTTTATACATTTCGTTGAGCGTATATCGCGGCATGTACTTTGAAAGGAATCTCAACATCCCTATGCCTTGTTTACATTTAGAAATAATTGATTGAAAGTGACTAGCGAATGATAGTTTAGAATCAAGTATAATACCGAGGTGTTTGTGCTCGTGGACCTTCATTACTGGAATATTATTAAAAAAGATAGGAGGATGATTCGTTGGAGTTTTCTTTTTGGAAAAGATGACCTCAACTGCTTGCTTAGTTGGGTCAGGATTAAAAGTCATTCGCCAATTGTGTGCCCAAAGCTTGATGAGGTTTAAATCATGGTTCAAATCACGTGCAGCTTCATGTGGGTCGTTTACAACTGTGAAGATCGATGTGTCTTCGGCGAATAGTTTCACATTACACGTTAAGCCATCTGTCAAGTCGTTGATATAAATTAGGAAGAATAGAGGACCGAGGATAGAGCCTTGGGGGACTCCAGATGAAATACTACCCCATTTAGAAGTTCTTCCATTCAAAACAGTGCGCTGCTTTCTATCATTGAGAAAGCTTTGCATTAGTGTTAGTAATTTACCAGAGACACCACATCGGCGTAGCTTGTATATGAGACCGAGATGCCAGACCCTGTCAAAGGCCTTTGAAATATCGAGAAAAACGGATCGGACATCTACCGTGGGATTGCAGTCGAAAGCAGTAAATATGGAGTTGACTATTGTCAGTAACTGGTTGACAGTTGAATCTCCTGGGCGAAATCCTGACTGATTTGAGTTTAATAAATTATTTGTATTCAGATGATGATAAAGCGAGTCAAAGATCAGCTTTTCCAGAATTTTACCAAAGATTGGGAGAAGAGAGATAGGACGATAGTTTTGCTTCATGTTCTTACTGCCTTTCTTATGGATGGGAACTATGTTAGCTTGCTTCCAGACTTCAGGGAAAACACCCTGGCTCATACACGATTCAAAAATCAATTTAAGTGGTAGAAGAAGTGCATCAGTGTTGAGGATGGCCCAGGATTTTGTAGGGATTACTCGTTAGAATACGCATGCGTCCCTGCCCCTCTACATTGATTTGCTCGAATACGCATGAGATCTCCTCTCTCCAACAATTACACTCAATGACTAAGACGGTACTCCATTGTTCAACATGCTGCAATTCCCTGAATAGTTAATTCTGCAATTTAAAATTCCCAAAGCAATTGAGAAATAGGTGCGTGACAAAACGTGAACCTTGTCTCTAGACAGGGAATTTTGCATAACCATCTAGCACCCTGCCTAATCTAAATTTTAAAGTTTAAATCAAAAGAGTAAAAAACAATGATTATTTTAAGCCTTGGGAACATTCTGGAAAATGACCGGGCGTTTCCGGAAGCATGAAAAATGCACGGTCAGCAAAATTTCAAAAATTTTCAAATCTGATGATACCATCAGAAAGAGCTTGCAAAACTGAGCAAAAGGTATGAAAAGAACAATGTGATCTGACCTATAAGCAAAAGGTTGTGACTGTTGAAACTTTTCGTTTTGTCAAACAACTTGCATTCTGAAGTTTCATTATAGTACAGAGGCAGAGCAGTAAAATTGTGAATGTTATAATAATAGCATGAAGTTTCAGATCAGAAATACTGTTATACTACACTTTAACTACTGTGCAACCAAGTATATATAAAATAACTCACGGCCCTTTTTAACTCGACTTGTGGCAGAAAGGAGCAGAGAGACAACGACTTTTTTCGTCAGCACTTTGAACGAACAGCAAGATGCTTCTCCCAAAAAGCCTAATTCTTAAAACTACTACAGCGTATTTATATATACAAGCATTTTACAAGTATTAATAACAACCAATCAGCTAAAAACACGTAAGACCTACAACCAAAAGAAACATAGATAATTAACAGCGGAAATAAAGTGTTTGCCAAATATTTAAATTATACCCTACAATGGCTCGTTCGATCTGGTGCACAACACAACCTCCCCCTTTGAAATCGAGCCTCCCGGCTCGAAAACGCGTCAAACTGGTAAAATCTCCTGTGGTGTACAGTAATCCTCGCGACGAGTGATAGAGGGCTCATCTACAGACGAGTCACTCTTTGCTATCGGGTTAGGTTCTGGTAGAAAACTGTCTGGCGGTAAATCCACATCACTGAGATCAACGAACGTGTCACA